TGAAATAATTTTTAATATCAGTGGTGCCAGACGTTGGGTACTGAGCCAAATTCAAGGTAGATTATTCTGAGGTACACTCACTTCCTGAAAATGTTGTGCTAATTGTTGAAGTTTTTCAGAGAACAAATACCCCAAGACAAGCCAGAGATAGGAAAATAAAACAAGTCAAAGACTCACCCCCAAACTGGGACATGATAAAGAAAAAAAAGGAAGTTTTGAAGGATACGGAAAAAATAGATAACGAAGCAATGAGAATGAGAGAAATAATTGTTGGTTTCTTGTTGAACTTATTTATTTTTAACCTTTTAAAATCACTTTTCACTTACAAGAACCCAGAGTAGTATACATATATAAGCAAACACATCATAAAGCAACAAAATAAGGGCTATACAAATTGCTCAACTATCAAGCCAAAAGGGAACAGGTCAGCCCGGCGATACCAACTACGTCTCCAGTGCAAGACAGCCTGGCGGAGCTCCTGTCAAGGTGTGAGGTAGCTCCTCCACCCTTCCCTTTGGTCCGCCAATGGCTGGACTCAATCCCATCTGACACTGCCCCATACATGCCCAGAACGGCTGCTTTCTTCAGCTGTTTGGGTTTCTGCAATGAGGAAAGGGGAGGAAAAAAGAAGCCGGGAGCCCTTCCCTAGTTCCATCCGGGAGGACCCAAGAATCAAGGATGGGAATCCCCCCAAGGGAGATCTCCCTGCCCGGATTGCCACTGCTCCGATGGCAACCCGAGCCAATTCATTTCTGGAGCTTTTCCACTCCACTGGGGAGCTCACGGGGGCCTTCCATGTTAGATCCGCACAGTCCGTGGGGGCGGGAGGCCCCGCTCCTCTTCTCAGGGAATCTCTACCGTTTACGTTTGCATGCAAAGCAGACCGAGAAGATGCTGAGTCTGACCGTTTCCCTTTCCTCAGGGGAGGTGGGCCGGCGGGATGGGTAAGGCGACTTTCCCCGATTCAGAAATTGGTGGGTCGCCCGGCCCGCCTTTCCCTCCGCCCCGTAGCTTCGGCTTCTTGTCAGTCGAGTCGGTTCAGGCGCTGGCCTAGGGCTAGCTAGTGGCCAAAGGAAGCGCCGTCAGCTGCCCAGGGCCGGTTGGCCTGAAACGTGGCAGGGCCGCTCCCGACAGCATTTGGCCCTGGGCGTCTCCGAGTCGGGAGGGCGCCCTCGCCAAGGAGTCACGGCGCTAAAGGGGGCTGATTCGGCCGCGGGCTCGCTCCGAGGGTCCTGGGCCTTTCGCTCCGCTGGGGAGGCAGCGCAGCGCAGAGCCGTGAACTTGCGCTGACTGACCGAGCAGTTCGCAGAGCTCGCTCGCTAGCAGGGCGCTCTTCTCCGGTGCCGAGCCAGCCGTTCAGCCGAGAGGTGTGAGCCGGCTTCTCCTGCGCAGAGCTGCCTCCCGCCGATCCCCCTCGTTCTCTCTCCCCCCGACCACTCCCCGCCGAGGTGGGCGCGCAGGAAACGAGGCCCGGGTTGCGGGAGCCTGTTCCTCCCCCTGGGGCTTTGGCGAACTTCTCGCCAGACGGCACGTAGCCGCGCTGCGCCCGGGCGCGAAGCTCTGCCGCCAAACCTCGAGCCATCGTCCGCAGCGCCCTGGAAAGCCGAAGATCGCGCGCCAAGGGGTCCTCCTTTGTGCTGCCGCGCTTTTGGCCGGGGCCGGCTTGGCGTCGTGCGCCCGCGAGGAGAAGGAAGCCGCCGGCGTCGGCGAAGGAGCCGATTCGCGCTCCTCCTGCCTCGGCGCCTTCGATCTCTACTTTGTCTTGGACAAGTGAGTGGCTTCGGCTGGGTGGGCTGGAGGTCGGGACGGGAGACGCCACCGCAGCACGGGCGCAAGAGGGGTGCGGGGCCGATCCGGAATGCGCGGTGCGTGTCTTGTTTGTTTGTTTGTTTGGGAGCCGCTCTGCGCAGCCGCCTTGCCCTTGAAGGCCGGGGTGATGAAGTTGGGGTTCAGGAGCAAAGGGGGACACCGGTGCAGCACTCGGCTTATCTATTTCTTCCTGAATGGCCTCCTCTGGAAGCAAAGTCCTTTACTTCTTTTCCTGGCTTTTCATTCTTTGGCTACTTCCAGACATTTATCGGCGCTCTTGGGGAGATGTTTTCCAGCTGAGGCAGCGCAACTCTTTGCTGGTGTCCCCGAAGTTCTGCCTCTGGATCAAAAGAACAAAGCCTTTTCTTCCGGAGAGGGAGGGGCTGGGTCTGGGGGTGGAATCTGGCTCTTCCTAGAAGCCAAAGGACGTCTCTGATCGGGTGTCAGCTGGCTGGCCCTGAATGTAGGTTGGGGGGGACTGCAGCCTGAATATTCACTGTGCTGTAATTCCCAGCTGACATTTCCACCAGCAAGCCATTGCTTTATCTGTTCGGACGTGTTGTCATAGAAATGTCTTAAATGATCTTATCAACATTTATCACTGGTTTGTACTCTCTTCTCCACAACATACATTTACTTATTTATTAAATTTATATAGCCGACCATCTCACACTTGTGACTCTGGGCAACACACACAATTAAAATATCCAAAAAAAAAAAAAATTAAAAACAACCATGAAAATACAATAAAGCAGTTAAAATTATAATAAAACAAAAAACATGAGAGAGAGCATTCCGAACTTCCAAACAATATAACCATTTAGTGGGCTCCATACTCCATGGGACCCCCAGGCCCGATGACAAAACCAGTTTTAAGGGCCTTCCAAAACGTCAGTAGGGTTGGGGCTAATCTCACCTTGGGGGCAATGATGTTCCAAAGGGCGGGTGCCGCAGCAGAAAAGGATATCCTCCTGGGTCCCACCAGACTAAGCTCCTTAGCAGACAGGACCCGCAACATGCCCCTCCTGTCAGCCCTGATGGGATGGGTAGATGTGATTGGGGAGAGGTGGTTCCTCTAATAACTCAGCCCCATGCCATGTAGGGCTTTAAAGGTCATAACCAGCACCTAGAATTGGACCTGGAACCCAACTGGCAACCAGTGCAGTTCTAGGAGCACACATAACTGCTGGTGCCGCTGCGTTTTGCCCCAGCTGAAGCTTCCAAATGGTCTTCAAGGGCAGACCTGCGTAGAGTGCGTTATAGTAATCCATTTGGTGACCAGAGCATGAGTGCCCATTCTTAATATTTAACATTATCCTAGACTTTTCAGTTTCCAGTTTTACTTTCAGAATGAGTTGTTCTGAATCTGAATTTTCTAAATTGTTGATATTTTATGTTTGATTGCAGCTGTTCTGTCTTCCAATCCAGACAATTTTGTAAACGCATTCACTACATACGTTAAACAAATATGGAAGCAATTATGTATCTTGCTTCCATCCCTATTCTAAGCCACTTTGTTTCTTCAAATTTAGCTCTTATAGTAGTAGCTTCTTTCTCATTGTTGAAATTCTCAGAAAGATAATTCGTGTTCTGGCATACACATTAACTTAAGTGTGTCCACATTCTTGCCTTGTGGTTAATAAAACAAAGGTAAGCTGCCTTTTTGTATTCTCTTGCTTTCTCATCATGTTATCTGATCTTTTATCAAAATGGTATGTATAGTCCACCTTCCGTTAAGCTCTCAGAACAGAGGTACAGATGTGTACAGTATTATATCATCCCTCCCTGTATGAGGTATTACATGACTTCTACAGAAGATACAGATGAAATACTTACTGAACTTTTTAAAGTTGCTGGACAAATGGCTAACGGATCTATGTCAGCAAATATAGATTTCCCTAAAGGATTTCCCTATTTTTTACACAATGTATATAATCTATGGTATTTTCTGTTACATTGAGTACCAGGAAGATAGCATGCATCTGGTTTCATCCTTATTGGGACTCCTCAGACATGGGTTAGCCAGATGTTATTCTATCTGATTTTGTGTCCCTCTGCTTTTTCTGAAACTTGTGTGGTCATTTGGCATTTCTCTCCCCACAAATGGCTCTATTTTTTATGTACGATTTTAAGTAAAAGTTTGCTTGTGTGAGGAATTCATGCAGTATTTCAGTAATTTTTGCATTCTCTGGCATGTCCTACTTTTGGTATAGGCATATACACCAATCTATTCCAATCTCTAGCTTACACTCTCTTGTTCCATATTTGTTGGCATAGATCTGTTAGCATTTGTTAACTGCCATTTGTCCAGCAGCTTTAAAAAGTTCAGTATTTCATCTGTATCTTATGCTTTCCTGTTTGACACAGTTACCACAGTTACTGTTCCTAATCCAGAAGTTGCACAAATATTCTAGAATTATTGTCAAACCAGTCTCCATGCATAGGAAAGTTAGTCAGGGATGCTACCTAGCTCCCTCCTTGTTCAGGAAAATAAAATATTGCAAGTTCGAAATACATTTTGGCTAACAGTGTGCTGAAGCCATGATTGGTCTCGAGAATAAGTATACTGAGGGAAGTGACAGGGTGAAAATTAAGAGTAAGAAGTCATAGCCCTGAACTAAGAGGTTTGTGGAGCGCCTGACTGAAGTAAAAGAAACATATCAATCTTTGCAGGCATGCTTCAATGCAGGATTGAGGGAAGCCCCCCCGGAAGTTGTTCACAAAGCAGCGCAGCCACCTTGCTTTGAAAAACAAAACACCTGCAGTGCTTTACTTCCTGTGCTCCAGCTGCTGTGAGTCGAAGAGGCTTCTGCACATGCACAAAAGCCTTTTCTGATGTTTCCACTCAGCTACTAGAAGCCTCTTCTTGCAGTTGTGGGAAAACTGCCAGAAAAAGTAAAACTGAGACAGTGATAATTCTGTGAAGGCCAACAGTTGACCTTTATTCACCTAGTCTCCTTCAAGTCAAGCTTGACTCCTTCACAAACATGCCCTTGTAGCTGATTTGGCACCAGGGCAGAAGCGCTTTCCTCCGGGATGTTTTTTCAACTGTTCCATCTAGCGAACAACCCGTATCTCTCCCAGCCAACTAGTAACCAGTCCTCAGCCTGCTTCACTCTGAAGGTCTGACAAGGCTGGCCGGGGTCTGCCTCTTACCAACCTAACTCATTACCATTCACTTTCAGGTCTGGAAGCGTCAAGCACCACTGGACAGAAATTTATTCCTTTGTTGAAAGTCTTGCAGAAAAGTTCATCAGGTGAAGTATAAACACAGTGTCTTGATTTTTACATGAAGAACATCCTAAGAACTCTTGCTGAATCAGACAAAAAGCTTACAGAGCTACTATTTTGGATCACATAGTGACAGAAAGTGGTTGTTATGACATACTGGCCAGTCACACATCTCCACATATCCAAGGCACGAGGGCAATAGGCTTCTTCAGTTGATGTTCCCCAGCAATTCTTATGTAAGGCAAGATGTTTAGATTTGGCATAGGTTACAACTATTAGCCTGCCCTTCATCAATTTGCCTAAATTCCTTTTAAAACTGTTGTTTATAAAAAGCAGTATCTCCACACTGAGCTGTTGAGTGTTTCATTCACAATGCTTTGTTTTTCCTCACAGTCCACAGCTACGTGTGTCTTTCATTGTCTTTTCCTCACGAGGGATCACCATTATGAAGCTAACTGAAGACAGGCAAGTGTTTTCTCTATGAAAGACCCAGGGTCAAAAGCCATACTTGAAATGACACATTTGGCAGTTTCTTAGGGATGAGTAAACTAATTTTGTAGAAAGCATTGGTAGTTTTAAGCACTGCAGTACTTTTTACCTATTTTACTTGAGAAAATTGGGAAATAAAAATATTATTGAAATGTATATACAATTTAATATAACTTTTCTAATTCTTTTACATATCTTGGTCAGATTTATAGAGATAATGGAACAATTACTGAAAACTAAGTGAACTAGATTATGTATTTTACATGTCACTTCAGGAGATCCTGGAGGACAAGAAAATATAAATATATATACATTTTATAAATAAATCAACGAGTGTTCTTTTGGTACCAATTTTAATTTTATTAGCTATTACATAAGGTTCCCAGGGACGCGGTGGCGCAGCGGCTTAATGACGCTGAAAGTTGCCGGCCAGAAATGGTCGA